GTGCTCGCCCTCCCGCGGCCGCCGGGCGCAGAGCCGCCCGAGAGGAGCCCGGGCGGAGCAAGGGGAGGCCGCAGGGACCTCGCAGTGCCTCTCTGTCCCCAGTTGTACAGGGTTGGGGAACGCGGTCCAAGGACCATCAGTCCAGCCCTAGGAGAGCTCCAGCGCGGGTGTGGGAAGGGCGAGGACCTGTCCTCTGCATGGCTCAGGTTCCAGCTGATACCAGAGGCACTCAGGCACCTCAACCCGGCCACCTCTCCAGGGTCAACCAACCCCTCCCTGTGACAGCTCAGCCCCCAGACTAGAATGAAAGCTGCCACAGTCACCTGGCCAGGTGGCTGGTGTCCCATCATCCCACTCCCTCCATACCAGGGCCTGTTCCCGCTTTCTCTTACTGTGGAGCTCACCTGGGCTGGCCCAGTGGGTGGGTCCCTTGCAGCTCAGCCAGCTGCATCCGAGATGGAACCAAAGCTGCCTGGTCTAAGGGCCAGAGCCATGGGTCAGAGACCACGGATCTGCCTGAAGCCAGTGCTGAGAGGCCACAGGTGTGAGGGTCAGGATGGGCCCTATTGCTTGGACCCAGGCCACCTCACAGGCGGTCTCATGCTGGGCATTTGCTGGGAGAGAACAAGATGAGGCCCTTGAGAACTGTGGCCTGGTTAGCACCCATTAACACGTGCTAGCACCATCCTAGGTCCAGGGCAGAGTGGGGTGCATGAACCAATCAGGCTTCCCCCCCAGGCATCACCATCATAACCACCACCATCACCACTACCACCACCACCATCACTACCATCACAGTTCTCCCCTGTAGCTGGACCAGCAGTAGGATCCTCAAGCCCTGGGCCATGGTCGGGGCTGGGCTGGAGCAGCAAACATGTACTACATCCCTGTGCAGCATCCACCCCCACTGGTATTTCACCGGGGCCAGTGGAGTTGCTCAAGGGCCCTGGTAGGTGGCTGGTGCCTCCTAGAAAGTTGCCCCACGCACCCCATAACCGGTGCCTTGTTACATCCCCTGTGAGTGGGGGCAGCACTTGTCAGTGGTCCTCAATTCCCGTCAGGCCCAGATCCGAGAGCCCTGTGTTTGCAGCATCTGAGCAAGAGCATTTTTAGGGTGGGGCACTCTTTTCCCAAATAATTACTTTAGCTTCAAAACAGTTCATATGAAGCCCTTATTCTGAGCAGCTGGCTGTTCCTTCCTTACATCTGTTCTCCATGACAAAGAACACAAGTGAGAGCACCCTAAGTGGTGTGTCATTGAGAAATCCTGGGGGCAGAGTGTATTTGTGACGTTTCCTCCAAAGGCTCCCAGGCACCTGTCCAGGCCCTCGTTTGACCTGGTTTGCAGTCGGCCACTGATGTCCTAATGTGGGCGAGAGGAGAAATCTCCCCACATTGATTCAAACTACTTGGCCAGAAACTCAGCTGTTTTGTGAGAGTCAGAGAACCCACAGAGCCTGGGCATGTGGGCCAGGACGCCTCCCCAGTCCTGCGTGGCTATGGCAGCGGTGGTGTGCCCCAGGCGCCACCTGCAGGGCAACGTGGGTCACAGTGCTGAGGCAGAGGGAAGGGTGCTGGGCTCATTCATGGCTTAAGCCTGAGGAACCTCTGGAAGCTCACATTCTGCACTTTGAGCCCTGAGCTCCCTGCAGAGGGACCATGAGGAGAGGCATGTGGGGGAGCCCTCAGGCCCCTAAGTGGCTTGTCACATAGCATTAGGTAACT